GGAGATCACCGTGCCAGGTCAGGGATCCACCACGCCAGGACGGGAGATCACCGTGCCAGGTCAGGGATCCACCACGCCAGGACGGGAGAGCACCGTGCCAGGTCAGGGATCCACCACGCCAGGACGAGATGATCTATCGTCAGGAAAACAAAGGGTTGTCACTCTGTCTCTCCCTATTCCCAGTTTGGTCTGTTTTTCTCCCTGTTTCCTCTCTTCCCAATTCAGTATGTTGCTTCTCTGTCTCTCTCTTGTCTGTTCCCAGTTCAACATGTTGTCATTCTCCGGCTCTCTATTCCCAGTTCAGTGTGTAGTCGCTCTGCCTGTCTCTATTCCAGTTCAATGCGTTGTCACTCGGTCTCTCTCTGTTCCTAGGTCACCATGTTGTCACTTTGTCTATTCCCAGTTCAGAGTGCTCTTACTCTATCTGTGTTTTCCCAGTGTAGTGTGTTGTCACTCTGTCCCTCTCATCACAGTTTAATGTGTTGTCACTCAGTCTGTCTGTCTATCCATTTCCTATTTCATTTGTTGTCACTCTGTCTCTCATTCTGTATTCCCAGTTCAGTGTATAGTCACCCTGCCTCTCTCTATTCCCAGTTCAGTGTATAGTCACCCTGCCTCTCTCTATTCCCAGTTCAGTGTGTAGTCACCCTGCCTCTCTCTATTCCCAGTTCAGTGTGTAGTCACCCTGCCTCTCTCTCTCTCTCTTTATGGTTCTCGCGAAGATCTGTAGCTCAGGTTGTGGATGAGGTTGTTGGCTTGCTTGACGTATTGTGTCCCCTTGGCGTTGTCTATCTAGTAGGTACCTGCGGATGAAGTTATCAGGATATCTGTTGTTAGCAATGACCTTGTATACGTGCTCTTTCTGTTCCTGGCTACTGGCCACACTGCCCTACATCAAGAACATATCAGGACTGACAAAGAGACTCCTATGACCACTAGGAATCATGGTGTCACGCAAACCCATAGCCACTCTACGACAAACACTCACAAGGACCAAAGACCGCATACCCACGATATGCAGGACCAGCGTAGTTTACAAAATCCTTGCAATGACTGCAACAAACATTACATCAGCCAGACAGGAAGGAAACTAGCCTTCAGGATACACAAACATCAGCTAGCAGCAAAACAACACAACAAACTGCCCCTCATCTCAGTACACTCGGACAATGAAGGCCATCAATTTAACTGGGACAATGTGACCATCCTAGCTCAAGCCAACCACAGACACGCATGGGAATTCCTAGAGGCCTGGTTTTCAACCCATAATGCAATCAACAAACATGTGGAATTAGACCCCATATACAAACCCATGCAGAACAGAACCGGAAATGACACAACCCAACTTAACATGCCGGATCATATAAATACCAAGTGGTGTAGAGCAACATTGCTTCATCGGAGATTGCACTGATGATATCACATAGCATGGTGATGAAATGTCTTTATGATAACCAGCCAGCTCGGTGATCAAGCCAACAACCTCTGTTTCTTTATTCGCCGTTCAGTGTATAGTCACTCCATCTCTCACCGCCCCCATCTCTCTCTCTCTCTCTCTCCCTCTCGTTCTCTCTCTCTCCCTCTCGTTCTCTCTCTCTCCCTCTCGCTCTCTCTCTCGCTCTCTCGCTCTCCCTCTCTCTCTCGCGCTCGCTCGCTCGCTCTCTCTCTCTCTCTGTTCCCAGTGCATTGTGTTCTCACTCAGTTTCTCTGTTCCCAGGTCAGCATGTTGTCACTTTATCTATTCCCAGTTAAGAGTGTTGTTACTGTATCTCTGTCTTTCCCCAGTGCAGTGTGTTGTCTCTGTCTTTCTCTGTTCTCATTTCAGTGTGATAGCTCTCTGTCTCTCGCTCTCTATTCCTAGTTCAGTGTGTTGTCTCTCTGTCTATCCTTCTATTGCCAGTATAGCGTGTTGCTCTCTCTGTCTCTCCCAAATCCTATTTCTGTGTCTTTGCTGTCTCACTGTTGATCTTCTCAGTTCAGTTCATTGTCATTCTGTCCCTCTGTCTGCCTGTATTTCCAGTTTAGTGTGTTGTCTCGCTGTCTCTCTATTCCCCGTTTAGTGTGTTGTTACTTTATCTATCTCATCACAATTTAGTATGTTGTCACTCTGTCTGTTCATTTCCAGTTGCATTTGTTATCAGTCTCAGTCTCAGTGTCACTCTCTATTCCCAGTTTTTAGTGTGGTTGTCTCTCTGTCTCTCTCTATTCCAGGTTCATTGTGTTATCACTTTGTCTCTCTGTATTCCCAGTTCAATCTGTTGCTTTCTCTGTTGCTCTTTATTCCCATTTCAGTGTGTTGCCTCTGTCTCTGTGTGTGTGTCTCTCTCTCTCTGTCTCTACTCCCAGTTTGGTGTGTTGTCACTCTGAGTCTCTGTCTCTATTTCACATTCACTGTGTTGTCGCTGTCTCTCTCACCGTCTATTCCCAGTTCAGTGTGTGGCCATTCTGTCCCTTCAATCTATTACCAATTCAGTGTGTTGTCTCTGTCCGAACCCAGTTCTGTGGGGTGTCGCTCTGTCTCTGTCTCTTGTCTATTCCCAGTTCAAGCTGTAGTCCGTCTGTCAGTCTCTGTTCCCTGTGCTTTCTCTGACTAACCTGTTGGGTATTGTTGTCTTGCTGTAGATTTTCCTCTTCCAGTTACTGAGGGGCCTGGCTTATTGTCATGGCCGTAAAGTGCTGCACCGGGACCTGAAGCCTCAGAACCTGCTAATCAGTGATAAGGGAGAACTCAAGCTCGCTGACTTCGGTAAGTGACAGGTCACCACAGCAATCAAGTCAGACTGAGAGAGGGTTCGGGAGTGAGGCAAGAAGTGTGTGACTGTGAAGAGGGTGTGTTTGTGTGTGTGCGACTGTGGGAGAGGGTGTGTTTGTGCGTGTGCAACTGTGGAGGGTGGGTTTATGTGTGAGAGAGGGTGTGTTTGTGCATGCGACTGTGAGAGAGGGTGGGGTTGTGCGCGTGAGACTGTGAGAGAGGGTGTGTTTTTGCATGTGACTGTGAAGAGGGTGTGTTTGTGCATGCGACTGTGAGAGAGGGTGTGTTTGTGAATGTGAGAGAGGGTGTGTTTGTGCATGCGACTGTGAGAGAGGGTGTGTTTGTGCG